GAGGCAAAGTCACCACCCACAAGCAGAATTTGCAGCTCTGCAGCCATCGGGGACTGGTGCAAATGGGCCTGATGCAGATGCCAGAGAACATACTGCCAAGTGACACCAGGGAACAGCAAGAACTGAAAGTATAACCTAATCTAGGGTGAGAACAATATCTACTTTTGCATATTTAGCAGGGATAGCCTTGGGCCATGAACTGAGGCTTAACTTTGCCCACATCATAATATACCTTTCATATTTTTGTAATCAGCAGTTTGGGTCAATCTATTGTACAAACCATGTAATGTCTGCAAAATAAGGTGGTGGATGCACCTCCAGTTTGATGCCCCTCAGTAGACACCCATGCCTGCAGTAGATGCCCATGCCTGTGCACATTCTAGCTCTAGTGTCCATGAAAGATTTCCCATAAAACAGATAGGAAGACACTTGGAAATACCACCAGTAGTTTGGTGAGTCTGTTGTTTAACACCAAGTGTTGAACAGGTTGAAGGTTGTGGATTATGACTTCTTTCTACTACAGCATATTGCTAGACCAGGTTTAGCTGCATGCACTGGGTTGAAGAACTTCTTGGGACTTGCCTTCCCAGCACGGGTAGCACTTTTGAACTGGCAAAGGGTAGGTGATTGACATCAGACAGAAGGCCTGATTTCATCAAGGCTTTGGCATGCCACTTGCTGGAAAATGTATTCCAATAAGTGCCACTCAGTGTTATTAAACGTGGCACTGAAAGGTGAAAAGTTCCTGCCAAGGAACTGCCACTCTGGACTGGTTTGGTCTCTACTCCTACAGGCAGGCCTGACGTTAGTCATCAATGGGAAAAGGTCACTGGGACTAGGGAGGGTCTGGCTGCACCTTTTGAAAGCCCTGGGCACATGGCAGCAGTGTCATCTTGTAAGCTTAGTATGTTAAAATACAGCTCTTCCTTCTCAGCCTTCAGAACATGAATTGGAGGTAAATGATGACTGTAGTATTTTGCGGTTACTTTACGTGCCAGCGCTCACATGAGGGGTAGAATGGTGGAAAACCCAGCTCAGTGTCCATATGAGACACTGAAATGCCCATGAGAAGTCTTTCTGAGCTTCCCCAGAGACTGTTTCAAACCTTGTGCTAATTGTTTTCTTTTTGACTGCTCTGAGTTCACTCCCATAGCTGCCAGGGATTGATAATCTCTGGATCACAGTTCTCTGCTTGGATTTCTGTCACAGTCTCTATGTGACCTGTTCTCTGCTGGGCAGAAACTTGCAGGGTCACATGAGGTGCCTCTGCTGGGCTGGAAAAGGGAATGGGTTATTTCTTCTGAGTTGAATGGACCCCTAAAATACAAACCTCATTTCAAATAGCATTTGACACAGCTGAGTGCATTTGTCTTCTCCAGCATGCAAACTAGAGACCAGCTATTTTCTGCTCAGCATGGAAAGGAAACAGGAGAACTGAGACAGCAACACCAACTTCTGTGAAGGTATTTAAGCACTTGCTGGGATCCATGTACCGTGGTCAAGCTGTTTGTTGATAGTAAGACACAATCTGAGCAGCAGATGCCTAAACCACGTTTTTCCAAAGTCCTAAGCTACAGTCTTTATTGCTGGGTTGGGTTTCTCCAAAGTTCCTTGCAGGACCAATTATAGGAAAAGGCTGATGCTACATGTGCAGGTTCCTCTGTTTATTTTCCATGGTGCCCCATTCCTCCAGACACTTTTCCACCCTGTGTTGTGCAGGCATCAACCTCGGCAGAGGTTGTTCTCAGCACCCTGCACCACTCGTTCCTTGTGGATGCCACAGAAGAACCACCTGTTACTCTAAATCTGGCAGTTTCCTCATCTTCCTTGCATCCCCATTTCAACTTCTGTAACTACATCTATGTGACCTGTTTTCTCCTGCTATGTAGAAACTTGGGCAGTCACATGGGGATATGTGGGGCCACTCATACTCTCCTGACCCTGTAAATGTAGAAGGGTTAGTTTATTTCCAGAAAATATGGTTTACATATGGTTTTCCTTTCATTATTTTAGATGTCAGCTAGAAGGGCTCTGCTTGTTCCCTTCAGTAACAGCAAGTAAATAGCCGACCTGTCTAGAAAAACTTAACACTAGAGACCTGGAGATATCTTTGGATGCAAGATGCATGCTGAACTGTGTGTGACCCTCTGTAGAGAAACATTAGCTTAATATATTAGTAAATGTTTTTTAGTGAAGATAAAAGAATATTAGAGAAAATATACAAGGCTTGAGGTCCAAGTTCCCTGTGCAGTCCATTTCCCATTGAAATCAAATGGCCAAAATGAAGAGGTCAGCAAAAGTTTGCTTGAATTCTGACTGAGGAAAACAAGGAAAGCTCTTTGCTCACCCCAGGCAATGATGTTTCAAGAGGATCTGGTCAGAAAGACTAAGGCTAGAGTTTTCAAAGGCAGTTGCTTGATTTGCTAGCCCCACTTGAAGCACACTGACTGGAGCTGCTTTTGGGAAGTTGTGAAAATCAGGGAGATCCAGGGACCTCCATGCTAGTCCTGGGAGACTTAGCCAATGCCACAAGGCTGTTCTGAAGCCTTTGACCTATCTACTGTCAGGTCAAGCTGCAGGGCATAAAGTAGGAATTCTGAATTGCACAAGTGCTGATGAAGTTTATGTTGTTGAGCCTCCAGGGTTGCCAGCTTGGACATCTTCACACTGTGTCCCTTTTTGTACTGAGACACACATACAGAAGCCAAAGAATGAAGATGTCTCATGTTAACTGTAAGATTTCAGGCTGAGTTGAGCTTACCAGGACAGGTGGTGAGTGCAGGCACCCAAGGAATCATACTTGGAAGACAAGATTGAAAGACTCCTGCAGTTCACAAATGCTACTTGGGAACCGGATAGTCTAGTACTGCCAGTTCCTAGGATCAGCTTAAAGTTAATAGAGTGATGGCAGGTGCCCAAACATCTTTGCAATCCTACATTTGCAGAGATGTTTTCATCACAGAGCAGACAAAATAAAATGGTTTTTAAAACAACACACCCTGCAGGTCTCTGTCCTTACCACTGAGTATATGAAATCTAAATTTTTTTAAAAATCCTGACAAAAATGGGAATGAATTCCTATAAATAATGTAATTAGAGAAGATTGAAAGGAGCAAGAATGTGTGAGACTTCAATGCAGTTTTATCCTTTTAAAATAAAACAGATGCTGAGGGGATGTTACAAGAAGGCTCTCAGAAAGGCTGGTGTAAAAACATTGAAAGAACAGAAAAACTTGCTTTTTCCGGGAAGACAAACAAGGACCCGGTTCTACAGACCTGGGATGTAGAAATGCATGTTATGGAAATGCTATGTTTTAGCATGATCTGAAATTTCAGACTTGGGAATTGAGTGCATGGAGTGCTCCTCCATACATCCATACAAATGTACATACATCCATTATGCTGAATTTGGAAAAAAGTTTCAGATGACCTCAAAAGCATGATTTTCAAATCTTCAAGCTTACTTGGAGATTGCCTCCAAGCAAGAGAGCCTTTGCTTAAGTGAAAGCATCACTAGTCCATGGGCCTAATCCACCTGCAAATCCTGCTAGTGTTTGTGTCCTTTTGATAAGGTACTCTTTCCCCCATGGGTCTGTAAGTCCATAGTCAATACATCCTTGATTTATATGGAAAGCAGTGTTAAAACCCCTACAAAACTCCCTAAAAGGAGATAGGGGCTAACTTCAGCACTTCAGTCCTGCTATCTTTCATATTTTTTTTTTTTCCTGGGGAGGAGGTGCCTCAGTCAAAATTAGTCAAAATTAGTCAAAATTATTCTTGTCATAAGTCTTTGTGCATCCAGATGAATTAATTTAAGATCATAATTATATTAATTAAGAGCACTGTTTCTACAGGTGTGGTTAGTTCCTAAGGAGCAAGTAGCTGCAGCAGGATTGTACAAAAGCAATCTTTGGCAATTCACAAAAGGCAGAGTTTTTTCAGGCTTTAGCAGATTCATTTGAAATGCCCTTATGGAGTTGGTATAATTGTTATTTTAATTATGTGGCATTGGAGACATGAAAGAAACAATGTTTTACCCACAATCACTGAGCAAGTCTCATCCTTCTCACTGGTGATGCCACATAACTGCACTGCTGATACCCACTAGCAAACTAACTCTCATTTCACCATTAGTGATAACCAAGAAGGATTCCTTGAGTTAGGCTCTAGGTCAGATTCAAAGTAGGCTTTGAGCTGGCTCTGCTGAGACAAAATCCACAGGTAAATGGCATGACCAGAATGAGAAGGGGTGTGATCTACCACAGGACTGTCAGGCTAATAGTTCACAATTTGTCTGTTCAAGAATGTTTACTCAATTTCATGTCACTGAAAGAGCAAAATGCTGTCCCCTTTTAATAATAAACATTGTATTTGACTAAAGAAGAAGTAAGACAAGAAGTGATAACAGAAATTCCTCTGCAAATAAGCTATTTCTTTCCAAATCCATTCTGTCTCTCCCTGTTTCCCTCTTCAAATGCACTTGTGTGGATCCCACCTATGCACCAAGCAGGGAGATCAAGATCTGGCTCCACAGGGATGCTTTGTACTGTCTTGAAAGCAAAATTTAATCCAGGGAGAGGATAATGCACTCTTGAGTTACTGTCTCCTTCATCCTTGTCTTGGACAAACTTTCTCTCATCTCCAAAGAGTTATCTGAGTACAGATCACAGTATTCTCTTCCTTAGAGTTTATTATGAATTTATTGAAAAAAAATACAATCCTTTCAGCTATGAAAATTACCCTCATTTATCTATAAATAGGCTTAACCTCTTAAACTGTGTCAGATGCTGCAGATTCACCAATTTGATCTAGATCTTCAGATCTTCTCTGCTCCTACAGCTCCAGGGCAAATGACTCATGCTGTTTGCAAGTGCCTATCCCACTGAGCCTGGCAGTATTAGTGTGGCTGAAGATTTCTACTAAAACCTGAGCAGGGATTTTCTCCTGATCAAGCTGAGGTCACCAACATACTGCAGCCACAAATCAATATGTTATACTTACATGAAAATCCATGCATTTGCAGTAGTCCAGCCACAGATCAGTAGAGGAAAATGTGTTCTAGAGTCAAACAGATATGATAAAGGCAAAATCCTATTGATCCATGTCATCATTTTCCTAGCTGCATTTCCCTTCACTGGTGGCAGTCCTAGGAAGATTGGTCTGCAGTACCTATTACCTTACCTTTGAAATGGCTTTGGAAATATGAAAGGGAAATGTCAAAGTATTTTCAGACAACCTAAATGGCTTTTATAGCTTGTTCCTGGAAATCAAAGTTCCCTGAGCTGTCTGAATGTTCAATCCTTACTCTATAAATCACTTGTTTTTAAAAGCAGAAGGGATCCAATTTCCCAGGTGTGTACCTATTCCTAGAGTTGTCCCACCCCTTCTGCTGCTTTCCCCGGGGAAGGGAAAAATCTCAACATGGAAAATCAGGGGAAAAAACTCTTCTTCTAGGTGAAGGGTAATGGTTCCCTTCTGGCTATGAGGCACCTGGGGATAGAAATGTTGGCACAGCCAGTTTTGCCCAAGTTTCCACAAAGTCCTGGGCCTTGGCACTTACTTGATCATATTCATGTGCTCATCTGTGGACCAGGAAGTCATATGGAAGAGTTGAATTTTATTATTTTATTTTATTTTATTTTATTTTATTTTATTTTATTTTATTTTATTTTATTTTATTTCACTTTTACTTCAGTTTTCCAGGTTATGTTGCTGTTGTCTAATGAATGAGCTGGATGCTTTGAAAGTCCAGCTGATGGTGCTCTGAGGGCCATCTGTGTCCTCAGCTCCCAGTTTCTCATAAGCTCTTTGGAGTGAGGGCCTGTATTTTATGCTGCCATCACAAATAACAGACTCTCAGCTTGATATCCGTGATCGACTGTGCATGTCACATTTCATGCCATAAAAAACATATGCGCAAGGTTGGAAGGGCAAACATGCTTTTGGCTTCCCTGCCATTTGGAATTCAGTTTGCCTGCAGCCCTTCTTTCATTGTGTTGCTACTTTTCTCCTGAAAAAATTTCCAGAGTCCCCTGGAAGAAGAAACAGGCTCTATTTACTGACATTTGTTCCAAGTTATTATGAGCAGACAACTCGTGTAGGCTATAAACAGGATCTCTTAGCCAGAAGCCTTCAGTCAGAACCTACCAAGCCCAAAGACTCCCTTCATTTAAAAAGGTCTGAATTAGCCATTAAAATATCACAGCATCCTGAAGAACATCCATAGGACCTCCTTGCTTTCCTCCTTGGTCAAGGTTTGAGCTGGCACTCAGTTAAGTTGCAGGGAGTCTTCCCCATTGGATCCCATGGCTCTATGTGCACACACATGGGTTAGTCCACACTGTGAATTAATTAATTCATTCATTCATTCAGCTGCAAGTTCCACTGCAAGGGAGTGCCAGGGCTGAAATGGGGCCTGAAGCACATTGAGGCATTGCTCACACAGCCTTTCCATGTTTCTGCACAGGATGAACCCAGGGTCAATGCGATGGGGAGGAATCATTCTGTGCCATCTGCTTCCTCTCTGGCAAACCTCAGTGCGTGGCAGGGGAGTGTTCTCCCATGGCTCACCCTTCTGCGTGTCTCAAGGGACACAGCCCTGACGGGCAGCTGTGGGACATGGTCATGTATGCCCTGACGCACTGGCTTCCCTTTCACATTTGCTGATGGTCCTCATGCCAGAGGCCAAGCTTACTTCACAGAGGCTATATTCTGCAGTGCTCAGGCTGTCTCTAAGATCCTACCCAGGGAATAGATAAACAGAACAATGTTTGGGCCTCTGGTACATTTTAATGTCATTTTCAGGGAAATATATGTGTCATAACAACACAAAGCAGGCATAGTTCCCTTGCTTTCGATCTGCCTGGTGCCAGGGTCCACGTCATTTCAGCATTGAAACAGATCCAGCAAGTTCATGGTAACTTTGCTCTCTGAAGAAGTGCCTCTTTTGCCCCTTGGTCTGTACTTGTCTCGTGTCTTCCAGCAGTGTTCCTTACTCCTGTCAGGGAATGTCACGTACTGTTATGTTAACATCTGATTTTCACTGGAAACCCTAGGGAGTTGGGCCCTTATCTCCACATACCATGCACATCAAAATAGTTTAATCAAGCCTATTAATTCCAGGGCTTGCTGCTGATCTGGATAAAACACTGCCCTTTCCCAGCACTGAAGCTTTGTAGCCAAGTTTCACATTGCCGCACTCTCCATTAAGTTTGTTCTCTGCTCCTTGGGCTGAACACATTCCCCTAGAGTCTCCCAGGTCTTACAGAGAGGTGCCAGGGTTCTGCTCTAAGGCTCAGATTGATTTGGGCTGATTTTCCAGACCAGAAGCACCCCATCACTTTGAAAATTTTGACTTGAGAGTCCTTGGTGTCACTTCCTGGTGCTCTGGGCAGTCATTGCCACATCCAAACGTTGGTGCAGGGCAACTGCAGAGCCTAGGAAGGTATCCAAGAGCAGAGAGAAAACTCAACAATGAGCCAAGACTAGGGCAAAACTCAGGGAATATCATTACAGATGTGGCAGTGGGGGATCTGAGGAAGCAGACATGCCTTTGTCCTTGTCCCTGCATGCCTGCTTTAGGGAGGGGTGGTGGGACATGGCTTATTCATCAGAAGGCACAGCCTGGTCAAGAAACAAACTTCAGAGAACTAGACATGGGAAAATTAGATATAGGAGGACGGTTGCAAGCATCTTCCTGACCAGATGAAGAAGTGGACCAGATTCTTCTGCCTTTTCCCACCTTCAGCAGCGTTTTACCTCATGGCTCACCCCTGACTCTTAAGGCAAATGTGTCCAACAGCCATGGGGATGCCTGGTGCTTAAAGCAGCCACGAGACATGTGCCTGCTGGTCCAGGGCTGCTCGAGATGTGCTGCTGCTTGCTTTTCTGGGAAAGGGTTCTTGCAACATGAAAGAAGTGCAGGCAAACAAAGAGCTCTGGGGAGAGAAGTGGCAGGCAGCAGCTGGAGCCAGTGGGTGACTTGCAGAGTGACAGAGCAGTTGGGCTCCTCGCTACTCTGCTACTATTTTGGAAACATTAATAAACAGAAGAGGCCAGATCAATCTCTCAGGGCTCCAACACAAGCCCTGAGGAGCCCTGTGGACATTGGTGGCACCAGCAGCTTGAGACATCAGTTTGTCCATAAGAACTCTTCTTCCTTTGGACTGTGGGCAAACTCATCGAATTTAGACACTGAAAACATCATTAGCAGTCCACTAATTAGCAGGTCTCAGCTCCTTTGCAGGTGCAACCTTGCACTGAGGAATTCATGCTCATTGTGCCATGGAGAATATGACTTCAACTTCTGCTGGGGGAGCTTTCAAGCAGCTGGAAAAAAGTATGGATGTTTATATTTTTAAAAAGGGATTGTTTTTGCTTCTGTCAATTATTAATGGCTCTCAGGTCAGGCTAAGGAACAATGCCAGGGATAAATTACCCTGTATGCTATTCACATATGCTCTACCCAATTGTCTCCTTCTCAGCTAGAGGATTCACCTCACAATGAACTCCTTGGCATTTGGAAAAAGAGGACTGACAAAGCAATGAACTTGGTGTGCCCATTTATTTGTGCATTGACATCTTTCCTACTTTGTCAGGTGTGTTTAGTCAAAAAGAAGCAGGAAATGCATTATAATTATAAACATATTACTGCAGAAGAAAAAGGCTGCCCTTGGAAAGGACTGCATTGTTTGATAAATGGTTACAGTGAAAAAAAACAGGCTTAACCTACAACTCTTTGCTGAGATCAAAGCAAAGTTGCTGCCACAATCTGCCTGTGTGGCAGGACTCAGCTCTGGGTTTGCAGCAAGGCAAGGGGAAGAACATTGAAAAGAAAATGCAATCTCCTCCCTTCCTTTTCTTTTTTTACCTGAAACTTTCCCTCTAATACTATTAAAAAAAAAAAAAAAGACTTAATATTAAATATTTGCTGTTAAAATTAATAGAATTAGTGATGAACCCAGCTGTGAACACAATAACAAGGGTCATGTCCAAAGCCCCTTGCTGAAGCCATGGAGAGATATTGTTTTCAACAGGTTCTGACTTGGGATCTTGATGAGCCAAAGCAAAGATGGAGTTAGGGAATAACCCTGGGAGATTCTGGATGTCCTGCAGTCTTTCTGCATGACCTTGCCCAAACTTGCAAACATTCCTTAACTGTGACAACAGCTGAGCCTCAGTCAGTATTGTGATGCTGCTGTGAAAAGCAAAATCCTTCTGGGCTCTGAGACCAGGAATGCTGTAGGTAAGATGGAGAAAGGGCTTATTGCCCTTCTCAGCACTGCAAGGCTGAGCCATGGCCCTGCACTTAAATAAATAAAACCACCAACAGACAAACTGAAAATTGTCCAGAGGACAGCAAAAAAAATGATCAGAGGTCTAGAAAACATGACTTACGAGAAAAGATTGAAAGGGCTGGGTTTGTTTAGTCTACAGACTTTGAAACATCCTAATAAACTCTAAAGATGTAAAAAATATATGGCATCTAAAAGGGTCAATTGATTGCCCTTTATCTCTATGGCAGAAGGTACAGCACAAAGAAGATAGTATTAAAAGCTCTGAGGCCAATAACAGCTCAAGTTTGTTACCTGGGGAGGGATTAGAACATCTCATGACAGATTTTCAGTATTTTGGACAAGTACCATGAGGGATTGGGTAACTCACTGTCCCATGAAACAGACTGGCTTCAGCCATGTGGTCCTATGGTTTCCTTGATCTCGTGACTGTGTCAGGGCACCTGAGGACAAGGCTTGGAGCTGAAGAACTTTTAGAGCACTCCCTGATTTGAAAAAATGTGGCAGGTGCTCAACCCTTCTAGAAGTTGCAAGAAAAAAGTCTGTTTTAAAACCCTCTTTTCCATGACTTGCATGATTATTAAATGAAGAGCAACAAATCCCCACCTTTTCATGGGGCCGTCATTGCTTTGTGAAGCACCCTGTTGCTCTCTCATGGGGGATTCACATCTAGATGAATACTCAAATGCTTGAATATTTAGATGATCAGACCTCTGAAAAAGCATGTAAAAGTGTATCAGGTAGTGACAACCTTGCAGATCCTGCTACAAAAATTCCCCTCCTGAAAATGGAGAAAGAGGTACCTTGGCCAACCCTTGCTAGGAGTGCTTTTGCAACTGTAAAGAAGTGAGGATGGTATTAGGTCTACGAGGGCCAGGTGGTGGTCAGCACCTGATTAGAAAGGCAACATCCCTTCTCCCCATCATGCCCACCCAGAGGTGAGTATCCCATCCTGGAGCTGCATGTGCCGCTCCCTACCCGTGACCGAGCAACCTTGCTATCCCTCATCTGCCCTGGAAAGGGTCAACGCTGTTTTCTGATTTCAACCCCTCTTCTTCAAAGGGTCCCAAAAGCTTTGTCAGAGTTTGCATCAAAACTCACCACAAGACAAAAGCCTATTAGAAACCAGGTTTTGAATTTAATGCCCAGCAACCCCGAATTCCTTGAATTATGGGCATGAGATGAGAGGTTTGTGCAGGAAAGGAGCACAAGTTTGCAGCCAGAGCAGAGATGGCCATAACCCTTGGCATCTCCAAGGACCTGGGGGTCAAGTGAGGGCTCTCCAAGAGATGGGGGGAAGATGCTGTGTTCAATCCTGCCACAACCCTGCCTCTTTTTTGCATTGCCCATTTCCTGCCCAGCTGTGTAAGGTACTGCTTGGTCCCACATGAACAAAGAGAAAATCACTAGTTATATGATATAGAATTAAAAAAAAAAAATCTATGTGCTTTTAAGTGTAAACCTATTACTGAGGCAATGGTTTGCAAACATGGGATTACGGCTCCAAGTCAACTTTTTTTTCCCCTCAGTTTTGGGTACAGTCATGAGCCTGGCAGGAATCTGTGTCAGCTAAAATGCAAGGCAGCAACTGGCATCTCCTGGAGTTTGGAGCTGAGTGGGGTCACAACAGGATGGAGTTTGGGAAGGCAGCACTGCAGGGTTAGGAATAAACATCTCCCTGGGGCAGACTTTCCATAATTGGCCATGACAAGGCTTCTTTCTTCAGAGAGCTGGAGCTGGTCTGTGAGGAAGCAGGATGAATCACTGCTCCAGCTCAATTTGGCAAATGCCACGATTTAGTTCTGCTTTACGCAGGGAGGAGATAATGATATAGACTGAAAGACAGAAGAGAAATCTAGCCAAAGGCTTCTGAGCTGGGAGAGGAGTTTGAGTTCCCACTCATTTTTCACAGGTTTACTCAGGTCCTTAGAAGGAAACCCTGGCAATACCCACTGGTGCAAAAACAATTCCCTTTATCAACAAAGGGAGGGAACAATGGGGACTCCTGAACACAAAGCTCATGCAAACAATAATAGCCCTTTTATTTTCCATTATTAAAGCAGCAGTTGATACTAAATACTTCCTTCCAGCCCTCTACTTTGTTAACTATTTCTGTCACTCTTTGCTCAGTTTATGGGAGGGGATCTTAATGTCTGGAGCTGGTTTCTGTGCAGCCTTTTGTGAAGAGGAAGGTTGAGCATGGTTTCCTCATGCTATTCTGTACCATTTGAAAAGTTCCACTTTCTTTGAAATATGTAGAAAAACGGTGTTGTTTCTGCCAGCCTTTCTCTGGATGGTGGTCATCTGTAAAGCTCCTTGCTATCTCAGCAATCTTACCAAGCCCAGTGACCTAACAGCAGTTCACAGCCTGATGATTAATCCCCTCCCTTTAAAAGTATGCACTTAGTGGCAGAACCCCACGAAAATATTGACGGAGCAGAGCTGTTTTGCCAAGTGGCAGATTTAGACTTGCTCTTCTTGGAAAGCTGGCTTCCTGTCACTGGCTTTGTCTCATGGGCTTTTTTCCAGTGGTTTGGAGAGAGGAGAAAAGGAAAAGGAAATTGTTCCTCCCAAATACCTCTTCTCTTTTACATCCCCTTTCCTTCATGTGTCCTCTCTGCTATTCTACATTTCAGGAACTCCATCAGCCAAAGTCATCCTAACTAACTCCACTGCTATTCCTCATGCCAAAGGAGAAGGAAGATCCCTGCAAAATAAGATCCCTTGAAAAAGAAGGTGCAGACAATCTTAATTTCCATCCCATCTTCTTCTGATTCCTCACAGGCCAGGCAGATGGAACAAAAATCTTCCCTGCACTGTGGAAGAATGTTAGCTCTGAAAAGTCACATCTGCTTCTTGTTGCAATATGAGAGTTCAGATCAAAGCACCAGTCTTTTGCTAATTTCTAATTAGCTGATAGGAACATTAAAATTTTATTTCTTATGAGCTGACTACCACAGCTAACTCAGGTAGCTGCTCCTGGGCTGGCTACAAGACTGGAGCTTGAGGCTTCCTATTCTAAACACTCCCACCACTGGAAATGGAAAGCTCAGTCAGCAATGGGCAGCACAGGGCTGTGGCAGGCAGCTGAGTTTGCATGACAGCAAAGATCTTACTTTCCCTGAAGATAGCAGCATCCCCCTTCTCTTAAAGTCCGTACAAGGACAAATCCCACACCGGGTTCTTAGCCAGTATCTTTTTCCTGTTTCCTCTTGAGATGCTGGGTAAGGCCTCCAGACTGGATTCAGCAGCACCAATGTCAGCCAGGTGAATACAGTGTGAGCAGAGCCCACCATGGCCTTTCTGGCACACGGTCTGGAAGGACTAACACTGCTAGTACTTTCAAGGTCAAGACTTTGTGTGATCCCATGAAGATTCCCCATATGCTCTCTGCAGAGTGAGGTGGGTCCTTTTTGGGAAGAAAAGCACAAAATATCAAGGTAATACCAAAAGTCATTTAGAGAAGATTAGAACAGGGGACACACTGGAGTGTCAGGCACCCATGGTCAAAGAGTTTGTGTGGCAGTTTTCCCTTTGGTGTCCATGTGTCAGTCTTTGGATCATAGCAGTCCAAGGAATCCAGGTCCTTGATGACATTGTCTGAGGTGAGACACCGTCCTCCTGTAACATACAGCTTGTTCTTGATGACAGTGGCTCCATGATGCATTCGTCTGTCCTTCATGTCTGCACATTTAACAAACTTGTTGCCTTTTGTATCATAAGCAATTATTCTCCGGGTGTACCCTGAATGCGAAGCCAAAAAGATGGAAGAGACAGATGGGAATTAAGCTCTTATGGCCAGCAGAAGGAATAATAATAATAACAATATATTTCATGCTGGTCTTCAATAAAACATATTATAGTAGTACATAATTTGGCAGAATTAAGATATCTAAACTATTAAGTGATGATTCCTAAGACAGGAATGCCTGGCTGTCTATCTTCCTTTCCTGTCTGTCTTCATCCTCATCATAGCACCTTGGCAGCCAAGGTTTGATAAGCACCATAAAGCCCATCAATCAGGAAACCAATCTGCAAACACAGTTGGGGCTTGCAGTTACCTGCACGTGCCTTCAAACACCTGAAAATATTTCTTTTTACTAAACAGACTCCTAGAGCTTCACTTGGAAATACAGAAAGCGGTGGCAGATGGGATGGGCCTTGTTGGGTTGGAGTTGTAGCTGTCTGCTGACTGGAGCTGGGTATGCAACATCATGGTGCCACCAGTGCTCACTCCACTCCTGAAGCCCTCAGCACCACGTTTGTGCTGGCCACCATGCCAGTGACCCAGTGGACAGCTCTTCTCAGGGGTGATACAACCTTGTATCAGCTGAGGGGCAAGGGCTAGTAAGATGGCCACTGCCCTGCAGCAGTGGAGGTGTGTAAGCTTGGTACCAACAGTACCTTGCCCATGTAGAAAAACGTGAGTGTGGTCTGAGGTGAGGGCAATCTGCCTTACAGGAGCTTGATAGTCTTGGACCTTTGGACTCAGCCCTCCCCTCTTCTCACCACAAAGGACAGCAGTGGCCTCTCCCTGACGGGTGACACCACCTTGAAGTCCTGTGCAGTTTGGGTTCAATCCTCTGCTTTGCTAAAGATATTATGTGTCTCATTTTTCCTTAAATAGTTCAACACATGCTTCCTCCTGGCAGTCTGTAGTCAGGGAAGCGGCATTAAGGATTGTAGAGGGCCAAATTATCAATGACATGTCATACCCGACTGCCATGGGCAGAGGTTGGTCCTCAGGTTGAAAAAGACAGACACAGAGAAGCTTCTTCTTTCCAAGTATTTCACATTCCTTTTGGGATATTTCTCAATTACCTCCAGGAGGCTGCTAAAAGACCAATCAGCACCTCATAGACCTACAGCCCACCCATCCTGACAAGCCATCCATGGCCTTGTGACAGCTGTGCTTTCCATTCTTCCAAGTGGAGCAGACAGGGAGGACCAGGCTGCGAGTCAGCAGAGGAGGGGCAGGAGCCCCATGCTCCTGGCTTCCTCCCGACAGCAGTAACTTGCATTGGCTTTTCCTCAGTTTTCTCCACCCAGGTGCTGCTACCTGGGGTAAGAAAGTGCCTTATGGAGAACTTATCTTAACTTCAATCACCATGAGGCTCCAGAAGAGAAGTGTATGGAGGGTGGGCACACTTATCCTTTCCTTCCCAAGATCCAGGTGCTTTTTGAGGGAGCACCCCAAACAGGAAGGCTGTGAAAACCCCCAGGATCTGGGCAGGGGAGGGAGAGGGAAAGTGAAACAGAGCCCTTACCACCTACGATGATAATCTGGTCTCCAATCACAACAGCTGGTGCACAGACATTCTTTACTACTCTGGTCTCCATGCGAAACCACGTATTCCTGGAGACATGGTAAACCTGACAAAAAACCAAAGATGTTCACACAGCTGTTTATGTTTCATTTAAACTGACATCTGTAATTACAGAGGAACTTCTGAGTTTTATTTTGCCCTATTTGAGCCAATCCTCTGGCTCAAAACTGCTGGAAATTTGAGAATGTATGTCCCCTTGGAAAGCATTCTGGATCGCCAAGATTTTCTGCTCAAGAGATGCTAGCACAAGTACTAAAGCAGTGTATCTGCCATATGAAGGCTTCTTGTATGGCCATTAAATTACTGTAACTGTTCTCCCAAAGGGCAAGCTGATTAATTTCATTTTCCAGTTATCCTGTGTATTCCTTATTAGTCTTAGCAATTTCCTGGGCAAACAAACCTCAGCTTCAGCTAACTCTGCTGGCAGCCACTGTGTTTGCCCAACTGCTATACACATGCTAGTGACTGGTATGCACTCAGACTGGCAAATGGACTTAGAGTGGTATCTAAGTCATCGATTTATGTGAGAAAAAGAGCTGTTGCCAGATGATGATCATTCAATCATTTGCATCTGGGTGACACAAACCTTTATGTCATGTTATCTGCTTCTTAATATAGCAAATATCACCAGGGCATCTCCCCACTAACTGATAAATACATTTCCTTCAGTCTGATAATGAAGTACCGTTATAAAGCATTTCTCATGTCCTGGTTTCCATCTTAGCTTAATGATCCTTCTTAGTTAAAGCACTTTGAACAGTGAAAAACACTCATGAGAAAGAAACATTTCAATGTTGCTAAAGCATCAAATCAGATAAGAAAAAATGTAATGTATTTTTTCCTCCTAGTAGAGTGTAATGTCTGAAAGCAGGCAAAGAGCCAGCAACATGTGGCAGGAGCCACATTTTTAACACAACTGTTTATCCAAAATGACTGTCAGTTTAAGTTCTGGCCCTTTGATGGGTGAGTATCTAATCTCTCTAATGATCGCGAGTGTTTGCGTTTGCTGCGAGCGAGCAGGTGCACGGCTGAGACCCCAGCTCAGCACCAAGTGGAAAGCACTGATTTTGGTGAGATTGGCTACAGGCATGGAGGCAGGCAGGGGGAACTGCTGCTGCCTGCCATGGCATCACCTGCAGCAGCCCTGGCCCTGGGGCCCACCAGTGACAAGGCTGACTAACACCCAAAGCAGTGCCTCTGGGGCTGCTGCCTGAGAAACATTCAGAAGGGGAAAATGGAAGAGCTGCAATGCTGCTTGAGGCCATGGATCAACTCATCCTGCCTCTTGCTGCAAGACACAATGAAGTTTTTTGAGTGGTTTGATTTCCTCATGAAGGTGATAGGCTGCTGAATACTTTAGAAGAAATTGCCCATGACAAGCAGGACTGACCATTACCTGGATAAGCCGAACAGGGTTTTGCATTATATCTTCTCCCCCAAAGAGGTAAACCCTCTGATCTTTGGCAGCAACAGCAGGGTGAAGGACAGCAACAGGCATGTTTGCCATGCTCTCACAGGTGTTGTAGACACTATCATATCTTTCCACAGAACTCAGGATTTCCTGGTTTCCACCAATTCCACCGAATGATAAAATATAATTTTTATATGCCAGGCTTCTGTGGGAGTAACGTGGAACTAGCATGTGCTCAACCAACCTCCACTGATTGAGTTTGAGGGAGTAAATGTAAATATTACCACTGACCAGACTTTTCTTATTGCTAACAGGCATCCCTCCGAGCACAAAAATATTGCTGTGTAAACTCACTGCAGAGGATTTGTAGAGGCGCATGGGAAGTTTGGCCAGGCTCAGCCATTGGTTTGTCTTGTCATCATATAGCAGAACATCCCTTGTTGTCTGCTGGCTGTCCTTCCTGCCACCAATGATGATGAGGAACTCTTGGTTGGAGTACCTGCGAGGAACATGTGTCATGGGTTTGATGTCAGGCGTGTTGGTGCTGTACAAAGAAAACATCTGTCTCCGGGCCGACTCCAGGATGCTCCTGCAAGTGGGTGAGGACTGAACGAGTGAGTCATTAGCAATGAAATGGAAGAGGAAAGTTGGATGGACGTACTGAAGTCGGACCTTCTTGAACAACTCTTGGATGTAGCCTTGTCGTGCCTGGAGGTCGTGCCGGATCCAGACCGTCAGTGCCTCAAAGACCTGCTCCTCTTCCCCACAGAGTTCATCATCCCCAAGGTAGTCAATGAGCTCCATGAGACAGAGCTCTTTCAGGTCCTCGGAAGAGGCCACCACAGGAAAACATTTCAAAGCCATAGCCTTGGCTTTCTTATTCAGGCTTTGGCAGTTCAAGACTTTTGCCAGTCTGATCATGCTCAGACAGTTGTCAGGGGTCAGCTTGTCTTGCAGGTAGGTAGAGCAGGCCTCAAAGAGCTTAGTGTACTGCAGCATGGATGCAGTCTCCAAGAGGCACAAGACATTCTCAGTGGATATTAGAATCTCCCCAGTGTAGACATAAAGGATAATCTGATCCAAAATATCAGCATCGATGCCCTTTAAAATGACTTTAGGCTGGTGACTCTCCCTGAAGTTGTTACAGAACATTGCCTTGAAGTATGGACTGCTGGAAGCCAGCACATTTCGATGGCAGGGGATTTCAAAGCCCCCAGAGCAGAGGGTAACATCGGTCAGCATCCTGCTCTGCCGCAGAGCATTCAGCTGCCTCAGCAGTTCAGAGGAGAAGTCCTGGTCTTTGAAGAGAAACTCTTCAGTGGATCCCTCTTCCATAGCAAAATATGAGAGAGATGAATTCTGGACTTGGCAGAAGAAAACCCCAAATTCTTAGCAGCTTTTATTGAAAAATCCAGCTCCAAGGGAACAAATAAGGACTTTGATGTTGCTGTAAATATGCATTCACTATTACACATAAAAATGGAACATGGTTTAAGCACAGTGGGAAAATAATAAAGAAGCCAAAAGGTCCCTAAGACCCTTTAAAACTTTCATAAAGTTATCAGATAGGTCGCAAGTCTGAGGTCAGCACTGCCTGTGTCGTTGGCAAGAAGCAAAAACACTGAAGTTATCTCACTGATTTTGGATTAAAGCTGGAGGGCTGAAGCAATTGTTTTGTCCATTTCCATCATGTTGAATAAATGCACTTAGACATTTATTCACTATTTTAAAGTATTAGCAGTTTAGTAGCTTGTGCCTCTTTCCTCTAGAGTTAGTCACTCCCAAAGAATGCAAATCTGGCAGAGCTGAACTCTGCAGCAGGACGAACGGAACCCTAGAGGCTGGGAATCTGCATTAAAAGTTATTTATTAACTCTGCTTAGCTGTGGGTTTTTTATGTTAATCAGACACACAATGACTACATTAAGTGCCAGGCAGAACAATATGATGAATATCTACGGTCATGGCTTAACTGCTCAACCTGCAGTGGAACCGAAGGGTAGAAACGTTTACCTTCTGTCGTCCTTCACTGCATGCACTTACTCTCTGTCGTTTATTCTCTGCTGAGTTTTTCCACAGCTAGAGCCTGGACAAAACCCTATAAACCCACGGGAGGTTTCTTTCAGTAGGTAGGTGAGTCAGAGAGGGCGATTTCTGGCCGTGTTTATGCCGCAGTCCGTGTGCCCGCTGCCGGGCGCTGCGCGGCATTGTGCACATTCCAGCGCTAAGAATAGGCGCGCAGCGCTCCGCGCTCCGAGCGCATGTGACACCGCCGCTGCCTTTTGCAATGACCTGGCTGCTTCTGAGCATGCCCGAGTGCTGTTTTTCTGGCAAATGTTTACATATAATAAATAGACACGGAGAGGAAAGTTCACTTATAAAAGTCCTGGCTGTCCGTTTGGAAACAGTGGCAGGACGCTGTCCTAAAGTGCCTGGGAACTCTAGAAGCCTGTAAACAGTCTGCAATGCCTCGCGCTACGCTGTCACCGTCGTTTCATGGAGAAAGGCGGGGAGAGAAGGGCTTCGAGGGACTCCGGTGGGATGGACAGTGTCTCCACCCTATGGAGCATCAGCCTGTTGCAGTCGGTGGGAGACGCTGATGCGCTGGCACCCCTGCATCCAGCATTTCTCCAAGGTGGGCAGGGAAAGCCCAGACTACCTTCATCAAGCAGAAAGGGAAGTTCACTCTTGGAGCAGTTTATCTTTATGATGCTGCTTGATATTTCATATAGAAAACACCAGGTTGTGGCCTTTTGTCTAAGGACCTCAGCTCTCTGAAACCCCCAGCAAAGAACTTCTCAATCAGATGGCTTGAGGAAGCTTAGTGTTACAGGTGGGAGGACTGCAGTAGGTTGCTGCAGTGAGTAGCAAGCTGGAAACCAAGATTTCAGAGTGGTAATTGCCAGGGTGGCACAGAGCTCCCCAGGGCACACACCTTGATGGGGTCCCTCACTGCAGATGGCTGCACATGAACAAGCTAAGCTCCTTTTGCAGGCAGTGAGGTCTAGTCAATACAATTGAGTCTGCCAAGTAATTCAGGTCACCAGTATGTGCAACCTGTATTTGGGCAGGTGAACTGTCCTCCAGGCACTGCTGGGTGTCCACAGGTGCTCAGCTGCCTCAATCACACGTAGGTGCCCACATTTAACACTCCCATGGTAGGCATCTATGATGATGAGCCTAAATCCATCCTCAGGGCTGGGAGCATTCAAATGCCTTGTGCCAGGGGAGGATTCTCCAGAACTCCAGCTGGTGACCTGTCAGGGTCTTCAGCAGGTCAAGTGTGATGTGTTCCAGCTCTATACCACATTCCTGAGTGTTTCAAGAGAAATAGAGTTGGCTGCCCTTGCCTGGGTAACTGGATTGGACTCCTCATCTCTTCTGAGATTTCTCCCTTTGTTCTAGGGTGGGGTTGAATCCAAAATGTAGTTTCTAAGCATCAGTACAACAGGGAAACACAAGGTTAAAGCAAAAGTCCTTCTCATATTTTCAAAGGCAAAGCTCACGGGTGAGTCATGTCTGTATTTAGTCACAGCAAGGCAGACGAGCAAAAATCATTGGGAGTCACAGTGCCCTCATGCCAACTCCCATGCCATGCTGGTGCTTGCAGTCCTCCATATGTACCTGCCTCTGTGTCCATGGTGCAGCAGATCACAGGGATGTGGGCAGCCTGTTCCTCTAAAAATGGCAGCTTTGCATCATGGTCATGCTGTACAAGGCCTTTCTGATGTGGTGAAATGCCTGAAGGCAATCAAAACCCTGAAGACCTAGCCCCATGTTAAAGACAGAGTGCAGTCAGACTGATGTAGCTTTTTGGAGGCTGCCCACACAATATCTGTGTGTGTGCACACGTGCATGAGGTGAGGTGAGGGAGGGGAAGAGCAGGAGCCACCAGATTTGACTCTTGTAGATGAGTCACTTTGAGGGTAAACATGGCAATCTACGGCCTTTTTCCTTCTTCTCAAGTAAAGAAATGACCCAAGAATGATGTTGAGGTGCTGGGGAAAATGTACCCTCCCTCCCTACTCCCTGCTGCTAACTCACCAGCTGGACATGATCTTGCTATAAATATTTAGAGTGGCATTAAAAACCAAAGGAAAATTTTCTCTCTCCTTGTCCAGGGAACATTAGCTACCCAAACAAAATGCCCTCTCACTTTCATTCTTGTACTGTATGCATATGCTCTTGTTGCAGTCCATTCTGATGATTGATGCAGCCTTATATCTCTCTTCTGGCTCCTTGTTGCCTGCTTAGTTCTGCCTCTTCCTGGCAGTGGCTGTGGATTACTCTCTTAACCCTTAAAGAAAGAAAAGATGCTATCTGACTTTATTAATGACACAGGTTTATGGGGTTGGGGAAAGCTAGGTAGGATGTTCTTGTGCTTCAGACACTGATAAATGTGGCATTTATTTAGAAGATCCCAGGCTCGATGGCTTTGCACAGTTACGTAAATTCCTGCTAGCCCAGAGTACAGAGTGTGCTGTTTAAATAGCTTATTGCTTTGGGGAGGGTGGTGTTGCTCCTTGCTGAATCCCCACACAGGTCCCTGCCAATTTAGAGCCAGGGCATCTGAGCAATGAAGCTCCAGCTGCTTGTCTTACAACTCTCTTCACATTTTTTTCCCAAAGATTATGGCTTCAGACACATCTACAACAAAGTGGGAACATCAGCACTGCTTAGTTAGGATTTTCTTTAAAAATAGACTAGAAATCACTTTTCATGCCAAAGACAATATGTCCTATATGGCCCCCACTCTATGGGGGAGGGGGGGAGTGAAGGGAAGGTGGGGCCCCCACTCTGTGGGGGAGGGGGGGACGGAAGGGGAGGTGGGGCACGCACCCTGCTGAGAGGGTAGAGCTGTTTCTGCTGGGGACAGTCTAAATTGTCAGATAAAATCTGTTTCTAAATGATTTCTTGAGGAAAGTTTTCTAGGAAGGTATGCTATTGACTGAACCAGACCTGAGTGGTCTTTCTTTTAGGAAGACAAAATTACCATGAGAGTGAGATCTTGCACAGATAATGGTCTTGTCTGAACAGAAATGGGAAAATGGCCTCATTTACAGGGTATGTGACCCAGCAGCACCTTGAGTTGTGATGCTGCAGGTGCCCCATAGCCCTTGGTGGGCTGGAGCTACCAGGGGCTATTAAAAACTGTGACCCTCTATAATTGCTGCTGTACAAGCTCCATCCATGGCCAGTTTCTAGAAAATAGAAGCATCTACTGAACAACAAACACGTTGTTGTAATGCTGTATACTCGTCCTGCTCCTTCTGCTCTTTCTCCTTAAGTGTTTAAGAGGCATCATTCAGTTTTGGAATTAATGGTGATTGAACCTTTGATCTGACCCAGAGAAGCTCTTCTTAAGTTTTAATGGGATGATGAAATGTCATGCACTAAGCAACAGAGCGGAAAAAAAGCTGTAATCTGACCAGCCAGCAGACAGGTGCACAGAGATTGGTGATGTCAGACAACTTCTAAAACTCATATACTGATCCTATTACAACTCAGGTGAAAATGAACAAATATGGATAAAGAAGAAGGAATGCTCAAGACAGAGATTTCACTGAGCTTATTCAGTGTTATGTGCACTGTTATGGTCTCAATGACCACCAGCCCCCACAATAATCAAGAGACAGATCATCCCTTTACCCAAATTTTCAGTCTAAATTGTCAGGGGACAAGAAAAAAAATATTCCTTATTATGGTTTTAATAAAACTGGAAGAGGGAACAAAACCCAGGATTAACATTTCTCATTGTATAAGAGACAATTACAGGGATCATAATTAATCAGATGCCATGGAGAGGATGGGAAGATGACTTGAGCAACAGTGGTGGCTGGTTGGGGTGACAGATCAGCCTAGGCTGGGAGAATATTAACTTGCTCAGGAACTTGTTCAGATGAACTTTTGGAATCTTGAAGGATGCAGATTTCACAACCTCTCTGGACAACCTGCTTCCATATGTCCAATCAGAATTTCTATTTTTGCAATTTGTGAATGCTATCTCTTGCCCACGGAAAAATCTGCTGAGTTTCTTCTGCCGCTGCTACTTGCCAGCTATCTGATCTTCTCCCTATTCTTTTAAGTCCAGATATCCTTATGGTCTTTCTCTCTCATTCTTCTGTAACTATTATGTTATTAATTTTCTATTTAGCTGCTCAGGAAACACATTTTCCCTGAGTTCTAGTGCCATAGCTGCCATTCACATGGATACAATACTTAATGCTGAAATAAGGCTTATTTTAAGCATCTGGGCTTGGTTATGATTTTGTAGGCAAGGGCAACAGGCTACATCTATAGATACTGGTCTTGAACCCCTGACCTAAACTTATAGAGGCATGGTGACAAATTTTATAGCATTGGAGTCACAGAGCAACATCCCAAGAGTCACTGTTTACATTGTGTACAGATAGACAGATACAGCATGTAATTCAATAATGACTTTGGCCTAGTATACGTGGGTGTGAAGATGTGTGGGCTCCTGGCTTGGTTTTAGGCCAATCTCTAATTAAAGAGTGAAAGATTAAGATGAAAGCAATTGCACTCTTCTTTAGTCAGAATGACCTACTAGTGTTAATTAAAACACCCTTCAGGCAAAAATAAATTTGGCTGCCAAAGTTATGTGCTTCACATTAAATAAGGATGTGCTGAGCTTCTAGAGGTTTCACAGAAACCACTCATACAGCTTTGGGCACTTTTGTTGGAATATTTTAAAACAAATCCTTTGCCTAAACCAGCTACTTCATGTGTATTTCAGACACCCACTGGCTTTTTCTTCAAACTACATCATTTGAGAATGGGAACCTTATCTTGGTGTATAGCATACAGTGTGCTGGAGGATAAAATATCACCCTATCACTGGACACCAAAGTATCTTCATCTATCCTTTCTATAGTCTCTGGTTACAGACCTATGGCAACAGTAACAAGAAGATACTTAGATCCTATATTGCTCTGTTCTTGCTGAGTCTGAACACTAAAATGCCTGTGAAAAAAGGCATTCAGGTATTCAGGATCTGCCCCTGCTATTTTTAGGTACTAGAAATGTTCCCAAAGAAGGATCAGGCCTTTAAAATGCCATAACATCCTATTACACCTGTGTGAGCCACCAATCACTGTTCTTAAAAGTTACACATCTTTCCCATCTTTCATTTGTACTGCCCCATCTTACAACTAAATGGCCAGGTGTTACTGCTGTGACATTGATCCAAGAGGGGAGAAACAGGTCCAGTGCTTCAGAAATA